AAATTATGACTCATCAAACACTCTTTGGTTATACATGGATTCGAACTCGGTCTCTCAAAATCGACAAGTAACGATGTTGCTAGTCAGTTACTCGATACTGGTACTAAGGGCAGGTTTCAGGTCAAAGCAGAGTAGTTGTCGATCACAAAAGGCTTCCTGTCATATGGACGATCACGATCTAAGAGGTTATGTAGAAAATGTTCAATTGACACTTTTCTAAAGGATAATTTCTTACAGAAACATTCCCTTCTATGGAGATAATGTTCGAGATAATGCAGAAAGGCCAAGACTAAAAGAACAGACATTTCAGGATACCTAAGCTTGTCAGTTTTACGTACTGGCTTAAAGATAAATCATGAACAGATTTGGTCGGACATGTCTACTACTTCGGCGCCCTTACCTCGTTGGGAAGAGCTTGGTGATACAAGCAGTTGTGAAGCCCTCTTCTACCAAACCAAAAGCGGCTCGAAGACCCGCTCCGCCAGCACCAACAACGATCGCATCGTATTCGTGGTCGACTACCTGTAATTTTAGGGCGCCAAATCAGTAAACTCACAATTGCAGCTATCCAAATGGTTATAATTTTTGTTCCACATATAAAAGAATAACTTCATTCACACAGCTTGTGTTCGCTACAAATATGGTTCATAATCCGTGATTAAATTTAGATGAAGCTTGGCCAAAAAGATGTACAAAATGAATCGAAAAGCTGGTCATATTAAGCCCCAATTAGTTTCCTCTCTCAATAGAAACGCGTAGCTATAGTCAGCTGCATCAATCGCCAACAAATGTCGTATTTCAGACACTACTGAAGTTAAATCTTTGTGTCAATTTTTACACTCACTACCGCATTAACATAGCCCTCCAACCCAACACATATATTCTGCTCTATTAGATTAATGTGTTTAATTAAGGAACCTAACTCAAGATTGTCCATGAATAAGGTCATTGAACCGGTTGTAGGCAGACACCTTATATACTGAAATTATATTCCCATCATATTCATTACTGTATGATCAAATTGAGGCGATATAGGTAATAGAATTAGCACACTGAGTGAATTACATACTGGCATATTGAATGTCTGGTATGACAGACCAGGCCAACTTATAATAGACAAAAAGAAAAATGCAACTCGACGGTTGCTTAGAGTAAATTGCGCAATTATTTTGATAGGACAAAAGTACCAAATCTTTTAAAATCCTAAAGAAGTATTTTTCTCATTTTTGTTGTCAATCAACATATGTCAAAGCACAATAATTTGTAAAATTTAGAAATATACCTACGAATATTTTTACTTCAGAATTATTTGTACCGTAATACACTATCTAGGGTACTAAAGAGTGTTTTTAAGTAACTCTAAAATATCTTAACTCAGAAGTTCTGCAACATTCTTACTTACTTAATACCCCAGTTGCTAACAGGAAAATTTTTTGTTACATATTTGACCAATATTTAAAGATTTACTAATATGTTATGACAACGAACATTTTACTAACGGATACACAACTCTATCGAACAAAGTATTACATCTTCATTGTTGTTACGTTTGATTGTTTTACATTATCTACTCCTAAGTATACTACTGGTACATGTAAATAAAATAGGTCTTGATTATTTAGTTTTTTTTAGTAATAAAACTAATGACGGCTAATATTCTAATAAAACTAATTTTGTGTTAAATACACTAGGTAGTAACCATTCACCCGATATTCTTTTAAAATACCATGCGCTTCAAACTAACTTCTTATATAATGCTACTTCTTTCATATGGAACATTAAAGTATGAACAAAGTCAGAAAAAAATTCGTTTATTTCAGATTTACTGGTAAATAGACTTTTGGCATGATGGTTGTGTTATCATAACCTCTGCTAATTTTTTTCTCTAAACGCGTTCAGTTTTAGGAGCTTTTAACCAACTCCATGTACGAAACTTAGTACCCCCCCCCCCCCCCCCCCATGTACTGATCAAGTCTGGCAGCATCTGGTTTTTTCCTAAATCTAAGAGCTGTACTACAGCAAATCGGAAGTAGACGTTCCGTTGCACTTTAACGAAGCACGCAAACGTCGTGAGTTGAGAGCGATAAATAATAAAATTCGATTACCGATTAAGCAGTCAAATTTTATTATTAATTCTTATCTTTCCGTCAAAAAGGAGCCCAGACGTAACAACTTTAGTCCATCGAGGCTCTGCAACGTGACTGTGTAAGAGCGATAAACTTAGTAAGATGCTTATGCAGCTTCAGGCCGTCATAGTTGACAATTTGCTATTTTTATTTATAAACTGTTGAAACTTTGGTACTTCTCCTTAAAGCAATGCAGTAGCAATGCCACTGTTATAAAGGCGTCTCACAGCTTTAATGTAAAAAATCTTCTTGGGCTGTAATAGATGTATTAATGAACATCCGGTTATTCTACGCAAACATCGGTTAAGAACATTCTTTTAGCAAAGCCACGGCGTTCCTCTATTTCGTCGTGTAGCCAAGCGACACCAACTACCCTAAATTACGAAAAAGGATTGATCTTGCGTATTCAATAAACCAATAATGATAAGAATCTTATTCGTGCAACAAATTTGAACTTATCATGGGAGCTAGTGTAACTGTTATAGTGGATGGTCATTTCAATGGGAGTCCTCCACAGATTTTATTTATTATTTTAGAGTTCTTCGTTATCTATCATCTAGCCCACAACATCGCCCAGTACGAATTTTCACAGGTTAGAACCACTGAAGAATATAACATTTCGTGTAAAAAAAAATTCCCAATACAAGTTTACAATTTGTCTGTTTTACAATTTGTCTGTACATTTTCTTCTGTATATACATACACCGTTGTTATTTACGTGCATAATCGTGTTTCTAGAATGCGGTTTCTATATAACCATACTATAATCGTCAAACAGGCAGACCGCTTGGAAAGTGATACCGCTTGCTATTGCCAGACCTGTTTACATGGCGATATCTCTGGTCTTAAAAAGCCAACTACAAGTTAAGAGAAATTTTCACTTTCCAACTACAGCCAATGAGTAGAGGTACCGGCTTATGGCTCGTTCGAATGCCTGGAACAAATGCACAGACGGGCCTGCTATTTGGAGCAGGCAATTGCATTCGTGTCAGAGTGGGGTTGTAAGTTAATCTAATTTCTACAACCACTGACAGAAATCACTTCACTCTTCGAATGTAGTGTTACTCTATTTAACACACCTTATAACCCTTAATATTGGCTTTGTTGTTGAGCGCGGATGAAGCGGAGAGGCCCCTGGTAATCTGCGGAGCCCGCAAGCCGGTGGACCGCAATGCCCTCAGCAAGGTCGCCATACCGCCTACCGTCTAAGCAGCAGAATGAGCAAGAAAACAAACAATATAATACGACTTTAAATAATTAGTCTTGTAACAGAGAATTTTTCCACTACAACAGACACACTTAGCAAGACTAATCTAGACAGAATATAGAACATAATGGCTACTTATGCTCCTTAAAGACATATTAAAAAATGGCTATAGACCATACCACGATACAAACTTTGCACACGTACACCGGAGTAGCTAGCAAATATTATCGGCCAGTCGGCCTATTCTTCCAGTAGAGCAGGCTGTTCAGACTACCGCACAATTTTCTGTTGGGCACTTTACTTGCCCGCTGGTTGACCACAATAAACTAGCTGACATATCGCTCCGCGGCAGACGCATCCCGCGTAATTTGAAATTTACTAGAAGAGAACAGGGTATAAAGCATGGAACAATTGCGGGAGAAACGAGTACGGCTCTCATCGATAAATATTAATTAGACTATGAAGATAAATTGTTCGAAACATATAAATGCGCCCATTTACTGTATTTGTAGGCAAATATTTCATGGCCAAGCCTATCCTTAGTTAGAATGTCAAAGATCGTCGATGCCCAGCCCGCTGTTGTGTTGCTTACGGTTTCGTCATTGTTTTTTGGAGTGGACGCTCAATAAATTTACTGAAAAATGGCCTACACAAGCACGAGTTAAGAGAAAAAATATGGGAAAATCGTGCACCTGATTGACTACAATGGAAATCTGCTTCGGAATCGTTGGCGATAGAACTTAACACTAAAACAATTAAGTTAAGTAATTTCAAATTTTTGTTGAATTTGCCTAAGTTTAATTTGTTGTTAGTTTCCTAAGTTGCTTGACTGTTATGGAGCACAAAGGTATATTTCACACACTATGTATTTTTAAGCTGTAATCTACAATGATTTAACAAATGCCTTAAATCGTTTGTTGTAAGTTGGCCTCTTTCACGTCTTCCGTATTGTCTTCAAACATTTTTAGCAAAAAACTGATTCGTCGCGTGAATGTAATAGTAAAAGGAATTTGAAAGGCAACTGCCATACAATAAAAGCATCTTTGTTAATTATTCCAAAGGGCGTCAATAAAAGTTTTGCACAACTAATAAAATTCTAAAAACGTTTGTGATAGAGAGGTATCATATTTACTTACAGAGAAGCCAAAAGCACAACATGCTCTAGAAACTCCTCCAATAAAGAGACTTGGTGGAGCACCGCTGAATGGTTATAACAAGGTAAAACATCTAACAAATCAACCAGTGAATAGTGATTGAAAATATGGGCACGGGTACCATATACAAGAAACACTGAAGAGACGTGCAAATCGATCGGTGCATTTTATTGGGTCCGAGTACCACGTATTTGTCTGCTAACCATGAGCGCACGTGATGGTAATGAAGTATCTAACGGCGACACCGGACGTAAAACACGAGCCATAGAGAGGATTGCGAATGAATAATGCGTCAGAGATGCTAAGCTTTTTACAAAAAAAATTCTAATTTACACTGTGTTATCTTATTACGGTTATCTATACAATATTGTTTAAGATAAAAGGCTGTTACACATATTTATCGCTCTGGTGAACAAAATGAAACGTTGAAGCAGCACAAGTAATCTTAATTCATTCCAAATCACATATGGTATCAACGCATTTTGTACTTGCAGATTTGCGAGTGCGGTTAAGGTTAGCAATTACAATTAAATGTCTATGATTTACAAGAGCCTTTGCTTGTAGTGCAATATTGTAAGTCAAGGGGTATTATATATTTGAGTTTCAACATGCTACTAGTACAGAACAGTCAACGAAACAATCTCAAAGTATACCTAAAGACGGTTTTTGTTTAGTATCGTAAAGTGGCGGCATAATTAGCAAGTCTGATGATATCCTTCGACAGTTAATATTTATCAATATGCTCCAAGAAAGCTGGCTCATTTGATGTAAATACGTAAATATAGAATTGTTAAATTGGATCGGATAAAGATAGTTTAACTGGTACTCTTTATTTGCTTGTGTATTTATTTTGTTCCAAAAGGAAACTCAAGACTAGACAATTGAATTTAGTTGCTACATATTTAGCGATTAATATTCAGCTATCTTAAAAAGTTATGGAACACAGAAATACATCGATGAGCAGCGAGATTTTAAGCTATTATTATATAATCATTATAACACATTAGTCTTAGAGTTGCTCTAGGGTTCCAAGTCTAAGTAGGGTGATCAGTCTCCTCAATGGCGTATCTAAGTATCGTTTAAGGCTGCATGATGTGGCGTCTCTCGGTTTTCAACGTGGACAAGAGTTCCGATTTTGCGCTACCCTGTCGTCAATGCTAAGATCTCACTGCCTTTCGTTTACCTACACACATTTACACTTCAAAAAAAAGCCCAGATTTATACAATATTATGTAAAATCGCAGTCTAAATATGTTCAGATCAGACAAATCGTAGCTATCAATAGTAAAAGAACATTGAGTTTAATAAACAAACTAGATATGACGAGCTAATTTGCATTCTCCGGCTGACTTTTAGTTTTCGAGGGGCCGAAACATCTCGTATAACTCTGCCATGGCTGGCGTTATAGCACTGTAATAAATTGATATGGTGTACCCGTGTTACTAGTGTCTTTTATAAAGTAGGGGCTTTTTGGCAGGCATGATATGTATATACGGGTCGAGACTTTATTGCTTATATGAGACTAATTTACGGGATCTAGTGTCATTTCGAAATATTGATTTTGCTTAAATAATATTACATATATCTCAGTGCGTTGACTGTAAAGCAATTTATTATCCAATTGAATGCCTTATTTATTTTATTCAGTTGTTAGAGGATCTTAGTAGATTCCATATTTTCTGTATTTGTCCAATTTGTATAAGTCAGACTAGGTACAATATTAGAATATTAATAAACTGACTAACCAAATTTGGCGGTGGGTGTGCTACGTTCAATTTGGCAGTATGGATCAGGGCAAGTTATTTATATATATATATATATATATATATATATATATATATATATATATATCATAAAAACTATGATTTTTTGCGATCATCCCCCACAAATACGTACAAAATATTGAGTGTTTTAAGTGGACAAAATTATTGCGCATTCGAACTAATGACAGCGTTAAGTAACCTACAGGATAGAAAAGAGGTGGGTTGCTTATCCATACTTGGAACGAAATTAAATCACTCTCTCAAAGCCTTTACGTCCTCCCTCTTTATCAAAGGCCGGCGATTACAAGGATCTTAATGTTAATGGGTAACACTCTCATGCTGCCAGGCGAATACCCTACACGTGGGGTACAGGTGCGCGTAACGTGTTTTTCTATTTTATAAAATAAGCTAAATAGCTTGAAATAATTTTAGTACATGGGTTATATATTATTTGAGCAGTTTAAATTTAATACGTTAAACAAAAAGGTGTTGACGAGCAAATTTTGATGGCCTGCTATCTATTAGATAGTTTCAATGGAAAATACTGGGCACCGTCCAGAGACGAGCTTTAAAGTAGGGAATTTACGTTTGCTGATGAAGATGATGTCGCCATGTCTTACAACAGTAGCTGCAATATTACACAATTATACTTTCAAGGCTTTTTTTAGTTTTCGTTCATATTAATATGAAGAAAAAGGGCCGTCGATAAGTACGTTTGATATACAAGGTCCCTCTTTGCTATTAGTTTATCGATTTAATCTCAAGCTATTATCAGCGTCGATAACGTTCCCTAGAAAATAAAACATTCAAAATCTGCTTTTCAAAATAGCTGACTTCAAACAAAATATTTTATTACATGTCTCTTAGCCCAGGTCAGTTAAAATGTAAAGTAGTTTATTCGTGATTTATCATGTTAAAAAAAAGCAACTTTCGGGTCGATTAGAGTCAAAATTGGTGCCTCACGGGGATATTATGAGAATTTTCTCATAACGTAATTTTCTGGAATGTTTATTATTTTTCTCAGCTCTAACTGATTGAACGGAATATCAATACAATTAATATATTACAGCACATAGAGAAACTTACTGATTGCACGGTGAAGTAAGTTGTTACGTCAACTCTATAGCGAAAGAATATAGGGAAACGCTCTAGACTGTATTGGATGAACAAGAAGTTTACCTTTCCTTTTTACCGTTTTGAGTTCGCCTTTAGCAGCACGATGAAGAGCCTTCGACACAAGAGCCTTGTTACGGTATAAGTAGAGGCACTATAAAAAAACATTGTGTACGTGCATTTGGTACAAATATTGGGTCCGAGAATAACTCATAAACTATCCAATAAAGCCATCTCTAATTTTTTTTTTCATAGATTAAGCTGTCTATCTCTATCTACATTTACACATTCACCATCATTTAATCTCTGCATGTATTTAAATAAATAAATTAAAGGCTAGTTCCAGAAGCATTTAGGCAGCCATAGACCGCGCATGCAGACATCTTCGCGCATCACTTAATGATAGAAACTGGTTGAACTTTTTGCCCTCCGCACCTCATGCTAAAGCGAATTTTACTGGCTTCCGCGAATACAAAGTAAATTTACGATATTAGATTACTCAAAAATTCGATGATTATAGTAATGCAATAATAATAATAATAATATAAATCAATTCACCAGGCTGTATTACAGAGGATCTGTTTCTTGCTTGCTTAGATACATAGATTAAGTTACTATATTGAGCCAAATCTGTGGAAGACACGCGGGGGCTATATGCTAAAGATCACGTAACCGAGATCATATACCCACAGAAATCATTTGAAGTAGTACGCAAGACGCGTGACTTTGCATATGACCGACTTCGTACATTGTTGTCGTTAACTTATGTAATTACATCCTACCAAACTCAGATCCAAAAGTTAAATAAAAATTCAATTGGGTATCTGAATTAAGCTGTATGATTTTCGCCAAACAAAACTGTATGTATATATATATATATATATATATATATATATATATATATATATATATATATAATCTAATCTGTGCTGAAATTACGAAAAATCTATTTCGCTATTCTTCGTATTTTTGTAGGAAAGACCTTAAAGCCGACCTCTGGCTTAAAATTTATAAATGTTCCTTTTCGGATTGTAATGAGGTTAAACAAATAGCCAGGTAAGTTGAGCTTTTCCTTTGGGGAGCAGTCCGCGAGCTTATTTTGAATTTTTGCCACTTATCGGCCTCTAACGCCTCACGGTCATACCATATCAAAGCAGCGCTTCTGAGAGACCTCCCAATCCTCCACACGACTTGGTCCTCAGGCCATTGTTCTTGGGCTATCTGACGCTTCACCTCCTCGATCTGGTTTCTCAGATTTTCGTTTTCGGGC